AGTGAATCTGACAGACATATAGACAGAGTCTAGCTGCATTAAAGAGAGAGAGAGAGAGAGAGAGAGAGAGAGAGAGAGAGAGAGAGAGAGAGAGAGACAGAGAGAGAGATAGATAGATAAAAAATATATACATACAAAAATATGTTTATGTTATATGGACGATGTATATATAACTACAGTACTTATCAATTTGTTATATTTTTTAAATACAAATTTTACACCTTATTTTATTTTTATATTTATATATTTTCATCTATATCCCCATAGGTGTATGTGTGTTTTGACTTATATAATATATTTGTAATGTAATACCTTGCTGGAGAGAGATCGGAACTCTTATTCTCTATGCATCGCCAGTGGGTCTCAAACTCATCGTTGCAACTCTTCTTCAATTTGCGCAAGAAGTCCATGCCGCATGCTGTGAGCGCAGCGCCTTCTTTCAAACATTTCCTAGGGTCACGAAGTTCATTGTCGCACAACATGAATTCCTGTGAAAAGTAACGCCAGTGTTGGTCGTGAATATTTGCCAAATGTTTTTCATCTTGATGCTGGAACAATAGATTGTGCACAGAGAGAGAGAGCTGGCTTACAACTATGTAAATCAGAAGATATTATCCATGGAGTCAGTGTTGCATTCACTGGTGTTCTTTAAAATCAGAGTACTAATGATGCAACATCAAAAATGATAATTACTATCTGCTATCCGATCTATTGAATCCTGTTCTGAACCACATTTGTGAAGGCATGCAAGTGGCAATACTATCGGTTACATAACCATTGCCACTGGCGCTCATAGGACCTATGTCCCCCAGGGTACTGCCAGAACGTACCCTGGTAACTATTTGATATGGTTAGGGTTAGGGTTAGGGTTAGGGTTAGGGAGTAGGCATAGGCAACTCCCTAGACTCGTTAGTTGAGTAGGGGAGGTACGGTCCGGCATATTAGATAGTACCAGGGTACGTTCCGTTATACCGGACCGTACCCAGGGTACGTTCCGGCAGTAACCTGGGGGAAATAGACCCTCTCAGCGCCACTGGCTGGTATGACACAAGTGAGGGAAGTTGCAGTGGCAATGCAAGCATATAATGTAATGTACTGTGATTTCCCTAGCTCTAGTAACTATAGCCCGCGTGCAATTGCCGCAGGGCTATAGGATCTTCTATTACGGATGCTCGGGACCAACTTAATAACAGTTACTTGCGGCTATAAAACGTCTGTGATAGGCAATTAATGCCTCTTATCCGAAGTGAATATGTCTCAAGTTATATCCGCAACTAAAATTTAACCTAACAACTGCTTTCAAACTCCAGTAAAATTATCAACTTGAGCATAGAACTCAGCAAGTTTTAATGACAGGTTTATAAAACCGTATTATTGTAAAACTACAGAATATCTTTGTTTAGTATGCAAGGACCAAGGTAGCTTTAGAACTATAGCCCTCCGCTCCGCCGCAGGGCTATAGCACATACTATGGCAATTTCCAGGGAGTAAGCAAAGACAACTTTTTTGCGGTTAATAACTTCTTCGGTATGCCAAATAAAGCGCATTCTCTGCCGCACAAATGTCTTAAGTTACTACACACTAAAATTTGAACCGCAAACTAACGCTTAAATGTTGTACTTGCTATATTACTCGTCGACGAAGATTGTTTACCAATTTGCAACCGCCATTTTTCACTGCGCATCGCTAGCACGATGTATTTCCAAGTGGAGGGGTGGGCAGGTTGCACGCGGTTGCAACCCGCGCTAGCGCTGCGCAACGAAAAATGGCGGTTAAATCCGCGTGCAACCTGCCCACCCCTTCACTTGGAAATACATTGTGCTCGCTCACTAGCGCCAGAACCGCGCTAGCGATGCGCAAGAAAAATGGCGGTTACAAGTTGGTAAACAATACGCGTCAACGAGTAATATAGCAAGTACAACATTTAAGTGTTAGATTGCGGTTTAATTTTAGTGTTTGTAGTAACTTAAGACACTTGTGCGGCAGAGAATGTGCTTTATTTGGCATACCGAAGAAGTTATTAACCGCAAAAAAAGTTGTCTTTGCTTACTTCCTGGAAATTGCCATAGTACCGTATGTTCTATAGCCCTGCGGCAGAGCGGAGGGCTATAGTTCTAGAGATAGGACCACGGTAGCACCAATGCTGCAAAACAACGACCCTATTTTACTATTTTTAGTGTATTGATGGCGCTATATATCCCTCCGACTCCCCCAACCTCTGACCCTGTATGAGAGCATAAATTAACGTTCACTGCACATCTTGAGTTTACATGAGATAGGGGGATGTCTCTACGATCAAATGTGAGTATTCGTTTTGATAGAAAGTGAGATTCTTGTGTCTAGTTTGGTATGCCCTTGGCATTACATACAGTCAATCATCGACTCATTGACTGTACTGAGCAACATTCACTTCAACAAATCTTACGCGACTTTGATGAAGACAGTGCTTTCCCATGTGGTAAGATGCTGTCCGCAGCGCAGGGGCAGAGAGTGGGATCTCCTCAACTGTAAGCTCTTCCTCCATGGGAAGAGTCATTAAATTTGTTGGCGCCGACATAGCGCACAATAAATATTCCTTTTCGCCAAAAATTTTCGACCGGAAACTTAAGTGTAACTAAACTGAAAACCGGAAACGAGCGATAGCAGCGCCCAGCGTCGGAAATATCCGATGTGAGGGTTCGGATCTATGGTTCGGGTCATGATAGGCCAAATAAAATATATATCAAGTTTGGGGTAACGTAGCTGGAAGAAGGTAGGGTAGGTAGGAAGAATAATATTTATATTTGTAAAAATAATTGTTTGTCTGGAAACCCAAATAGCCTAGCAACCTATGCTAGCACCACTGTCACCAGGGAACCAGCGAATTTTAATTTCTAACGCACGTCCCTAATTAATAATATTAATTATTATATATATATATAAAAAAAGTCATTTGGAGCTATCTAAATAACAGAATATAAAATTAAGGATGAATAGCGCGATGGTCTAATATTGGAGTAAACATTCTGACTATGCTCACTCCAAAATGACATCTCATCAAAACGATCGCGACAATCTCATTACTCCAAGGTCTAACGGACAGCGTCGTGTACGTAATAGGGGTGTTGGTGCAGGCAGAGAAGCTGCAGGTTCGAATCTTTCCAAGCGAAAATTGTTTTAATTTTAATTTTTTAAATTTAATATTGTAATTGCTAATGTCACTAATCATCCTAATGGGTATAGCGTCGTGGTCGTGATAGGGGTTTGTTAAAGACAAAGAGAGGACAGGTACGAGAAATTCTTTTACGTTTCATATCTCATTTAATATTGTAACTCATAATCTATCGTATAACTAACTGTAAAAGTCGTATCTATTTTCTACCGCTACCAGTCGGAAGTTGATTAATTAACAGCTAGCACGCGTGCCAGGTATGGGAGAATATAGAACTACGAGTAGAAATCACATTCACTCTCTTGCAAGGGAGGCACAGACGAAGGGAGAGAGGGCGGGAGAGAGAGAGGGGGAAAGTCAGAGCGACAGCGAGAGCGCGCGCGCGTGCGCGCGAGAGAGAGAGAGAGAGATGCTTGCGCTCGTGTGTGCGTGCGGGTGCGCGTAGCAACAAAACGGACATGGGGGGGGGGCGCTTCCTATATTTATCAGATCTGATATTAAAATCTAGCAATCAGCAACTATCGTCTGATCCAGCGCACAAACTTTACCACACAAAGAAACTTTGTGTTCCTTGTCTGTTGTATTCCTGCATCTTCCCTTCTTCCATTCCTCCGTGATGCGACAGCGCTATCGCCTGCAGACATAGCTCCTCTCTTCTCATAAACCACCCTGCCGACAGCTGTTGCGACTCAGCCTGCCTGCTCTCATTATGGGCGCATATAAACACGCACGCGCACGCACGCGCACGCACGCACACACATCGCGCCAATCTACCACAACACATATGCTGCGAAATTGCAGCTTATTCACCCCCGCCGACGATTTCGCCGCCCCTGCTGGGTGACGGAACTGCCAGATGTTACACGAATGTGTATCAGCTACTGAAGTAGCCAGCAAGTGAATATAGCGATCAGGGCGAGGCGTTCTTACTGTGTGCCGAAACAAGGTTACCGCGCGTGCTTCCGTGAAAAGTGACACGTCTTGCGACACATGTGTTTCTTTCCGACAGAAAACCACCTTGGCCAAGCGTTGCGAATAGTTACACCTACACAGAGCCAGCTATAGATACTGGGCCTGTCAGAGAGCCTCGCCCACGTGAGATGTCACACAGAGAAACACAGACAGTGACAAAATATAGATACAGTATAGACCGTATAAACTAAACTGGCAAAGCTACTTTTATTAAAGAATAATTGTTTTTCCAATATACGCCTATAATATGAACGCATATTTGAACGCTATGTATTTAAAAAGTGCTCGGTTACATATCGCTTAAAATGTATGATAGTATGCGCATAAATTAATAATAGCAAATCACAGATTAAATAAAAACGTAAGTAAGGAATCGAGGCTATAATATGACCGAGGATCATGACATGATTTAAAAAATCGATCGATGAAAAGGTTCGTTAAGTTTGTGATGAAGTGAACGCAACATTACCTGCTCGGGATAACTTACGATTACATATATATATATATACAGTCCGATCGGAGAGAACTTAACACACAAATACCTTTAATACACGACCTGGTCTCCGTTAGCACCTGTTATAGACCACTTGCTATTACACACCCGGAAACAACGCTTGCATTTACCACTGCGTTACTAATAGTTACTAAGAGTTATGCAGGAGGGTAAACTATAATAGCTTAGGCGAGTTGAGCCTGTACAGCATGTGTATAGAAGCCGAATTTATGTACATCACTAGTGAACAGCTAGTTGCATCAGAATACGCAGACCTGTGGGACATTCCTCTTCCTACCGAAGTGAAAGCATTTTACTGCAACCTATACATATTTAACTACGAAATCTCAGTCGTAAAACCGAATCTATGGCACCTATACGGTACGTACAACCAATGTCACACAACCGTTTTCTTCCTCACAAATCAGATAAAACGCGCAAGTATTACCATCAGGTATTCACCGAACCACAGAATTCATAAATAAATGCGCTTGCGATGCACGCGGATTGCCGGGTATTATTGCAACGCATAAAATCCTTACAGGAATAGAATCAATTACTTAATATTACGTGACCTCCTCTCTCATTGTCCCTTGTGACATATGTCCAAGTGGACTCATCACGATTTCACTCAGCAAACGAGATAGTAGCACACTCTGCTGATGATTAGAGTGAACAGTACAATATATCGTTGTATTCATACTACCCAAATTCATGTGGGTATCCCTACGACTTCCCAGTATAAAACGTCTAAATACAAACCAGGGCAAAATGCTGTCGATTAAATGGCGATTAACTGAATATCACGTGGGATTCCAGAAAGCTTTTATGACATAGATTAAGATGCCCATCTTTCCAGTGCAAAAAATGGATTGACTTTTGCTTTTAATGTCATCACTTTTCCTGTCTCGAGAAGAAATAACAGCTAAGTTTACAGCAATTTTATCAAGTTATCATGAAAAGATAACAGAATTTCCTATTGACTTTATTGTCTAAAATGCAATTTTAATATATGGCAGTTAGCATCTCCGCGAAAATCGTCATTTTTTGACGTAACCATGTTATATCGAATCGACTATCTGACGGTACCACACCACACACAAGTAGGTACATGATCACAATAATAAAAACAGACAAAAAATAAAAATAAACGAAATCAACAAGAAAATATGAAACTTATAAGTTAATTGCTACGCGTAACGATAATCACGTTAATGCACCAGTGCGCCCCCGCCGCCCCCCTCCTTCCCCGACGCAGAGGCAATCCGAGAATCGCCCCCCTTCCCTCCGACTCCGCCGCCGCCCATAAAATATTGATAACAAAACCAGGCGATAACGACTACTTCTCGGAGACGAAAAACTCGACCGTGTCGCTGCCGGACGGCGTTCGCTTGCGCGCCTCTCGCTTGGCGTGCGCGAGCCGCCGGCGCGCCTGCTCCCGCGCCTTCTCCGCCGCCTCGCGAGACTTCGCCTTGCTCTGCCCGGCCGCCGCCTTCGACTTCAGGCGCGTCTTGGTGCCGGCCGGTGACTTGGCGGACGGCGTGGCAGCGTGCACGGGGCTGGACATGACCCAGCCGGCAGTGCGGAGTCGCTTCAGCTCGGCGAAGAGGTTGTTGACGTCGTGCACTTGCAGCAGCACCATGTCCCAGAAGCCGGCCAGGTCCTCGGCAGTCGTCGGGAATGGCGTGTCGGCGTCCTGACTCTGCGAGAGCGAGAGAGAGAGATACCATGTTACGCATGGAGAGAGAGAGAGAGAGAGGACATGTTACGCATGGAGAGAGAGAGAGAGAGAGAGAGAGAGAGAGAGAGAGAGAGAGAGAGAGAGAGAGAAGAAGAGAGAGAGAGAGAGAGAAAGAGTGGCCACGTTAGTGACGTTACGCATTGAGGGAGAGAGGGAGATAGAGAGAGGACACATTATGTGTGGAGAGAGGGAGAGAGAGAGGACACATTATGTGTGGAGAGAGGGAGAGAGAGGCCAGGTTACTCGGGCAACGAGAAAGAGAGAACACATAATAAGCGGGAAGGAGAGCCCCTAGCCATTTCGCTGTTAGTTGGAAATAGCAGACAACTTGTAATAGCAGTCATCATTATACAAAGGACCCCCTGCTTGTAGTGGTCATTTAAAACTCTCCCGTTGAAGATTACTGTACGCAAACCCAAAACACCCTCGGGGGAATACTCGGTAAGTACGATTATATAGCGATTTGCGGCAATCAATTAGCGACTCCTGGCCAATTTTTCTAAAAAAAACCACTTCTCTTGAGACACGAATTGCAGCAATTATTAATAATAAATGATAGCATAACAGAATAATAAATAATAAAAAATAAAAAAATAGAGAATAGAGACAGCACATCTCACACGCTGGCATCACGGAAAATGTGCACATGTTCAGCAACAGAGACTCACATGGCAACACATGTACAGTGGACAATGAGGGTGCAGGGGGAGGGCCAGATCACAGGCTGTCACACAATCCAGTACACGGTGGAAGATAGATCGTCTAACTTCTTCCTACAAAGGTTACTTACTATATTTTGGTTGCACAACCCAATGAACTGCTTGAACCTTTTGTTGATCAGCAGGCTTGCTTTGCCAGTGGCAGCTCTCACCTTTCCACTTGCTACAAAACAACAAACAACATGCATTAAAAATCTTCGCATTTCAGGAACAGAAAGGCGATGGTACGCAACCGAAATGCCTCCGTACATTCCGCAAACGCGCACGCGCGAACACTCGAGAAAGTGGAATCAGATCTGTTTTTAATTGTGCATTACACGTGCGTGTGTACAGCGTTATTACGCAGATCATATTGATAAAAGACGCGATGATTGATTAACACTCATGCACGCACCGACACCGTCGATCGCAACCAGAGAATATCAATAAGCTATCGCGCGTTGCCGACGACCGGTATAATATTTCGCAAATCACGCGCATGAAATCACAGCCACATTCTTCGTGTGCCGACCGGATTTCACCGGTCCGAACGGACCCGCCGAGAGAAACAGACGCCAGCGAAATCGGGGGCCGGCATACTCACACGTCGCAGATTCGACATGAATTATGTAGAACAATAAATTTATTAATGCGCGTGAGGCATGTATCGCCCACGGGCGCACGTGCGCTGTAGATTACGCGACGAGCCGGCCTGGGGCACCCACTCATCTCATTATCGTCTGCTCACAGGGGTAAAAATTAACTTTTGAACAAGGGAGTCGAACGGACTCCCTGCCCTCAAAAAGAGGGAGTCCGTAGCAAAATGAGGGAGTCCACAGTCTGAAGTTCAAAACTAAAGCATAACAACAATAACGCATGTGCTTATTTTGAAGATTTGCGATTCATGCGGTTGTACGTTTGCCAAATTTTCTTTGGACATTTGCTGGAAAAATACGGTAATTCGCGAGGCCGTTCTCTGGAACAAACTACTACTACTACTAGTCAGTATAACAGAATTTTCAGGGAGTCACACGGACTCCTGCATATGTCAAATCAGGGAGTCCGACATAAAATCAGGGAGTATTAGACTCCGGACTTGCGTTAATTTCGCACTCTGTGCTCACCATCTTCGGGTAAGCATGTTTCTCTCTCGTTCAACTCGCTTTCGAAGGCAGTGCACAGCGCTCTGATCCTCATCGTCTCGTCGTCGGCGACTTTGAGAAAATAGTGGCCGTCTTTAATGTTGATGTCGCCGTTTTGGAAACCTGCGGGTATCAACACTTCGCTCTAACCGCCTGGCGCTACGTCATGCTAACATGCTGCCGCACTGACACTAATGTCGCGCCAAGATAAAGAGACTGCTCGTTGACATGCAAGCAATCAGATGTCGCTTATCGATTCGATCGCATAGGTTCTGACATGCTCCCGTGCATCTCTTTATTCACAATTAATCCATTATTATACGCGAGCACCACACGATCAACAACATCTCACGAGACTCGTAGAACAATTGTCGGAAAAGCAATGCAGGAAAAAAAGGAAAAGGTGCCTTTCAAGCTAGATAAAATAATCCTGGAAACAGTTACATTTGCAGGGTTATGCACGCTCACATCTACGCTCTCTACGGATTTCGGCACCACGCGTTCACCTACCGTTCTCCTGGTTGTGGTTGGAAGTCGGCGACGCGCCGGGAGAATTCCCGTTCTCGAAAACGTCGTTGACGAGCGCGACGGGAAAATCAGGAAGAGGTTTCGCCGGCGAGACGACCGGCGACGTCAGATGCGCGGGCTTCCTCGGCAGCGTGGGTTTCGGAGCAGCGCCACCTGGCGAGGCAGTCTTAGCGGCCGCGCCGTCCCGGCCCTCGATGAACTGAGCCAGTTTGTTGAAGGACGGCGACTGCTTGGCGTGCGACGGCGACGTCGGCACGTCGCCAACGGGCGTCACGACCGGCCGCACCGCCGCGCCGCCATCCAACTCGATGACGACCTTCGTCGGCGACACGAGCCGCCTCGGTTTCACCGGCGCCGGGCTTTTCTTCACGTCGGAAACGCCCGCCGCCTCGCTCCGAGCGTCCGCCGTCGCGACGTGTCTTCCCGCGGCGCTCCTGCCGCCGCGCGTCGCCGCGGCGACGTCATTCGCGCGCTCCCAGACGTCGGGCGGCGACCGCGCGTCGCTCTGGTACCGACTGACGCGGCTGCGCACATAGTTGGTGCCACTGTCCGGCGACAGAGCGCCGCCGTTCTGCTCCGGACTCGCCACCGCCGCGGGGGAGGGGCGCATTGGTGATCGGAAGCGGGTCGGCGTCTTGCGACCTTCTTCGATCGCGCGCGAGTTGATGCGGTCGGTCTGCTCGTGCATCGGCGTGTACGCCTTGCGGGGGTAGCCGCTCACGAGGCAGCTGATGCCGACGTACGACGGCTGGTGGCGCGCGTCCTCCATGCCGTCGCGGCCCCCGTGATCCCCCGCCGGTGCTCCCGCCACCCCCGCCGGTGCTCCCGCTGCAGCGGCTTTACTCATCGTCTCCTCCGCCTCGGATATCGTCGTCGTGATTCGGTCGTCGCTGATCTGCGCAGGAGAAACGGGCGACGATTAGACGCGATCGCGCGGAGACAACGGCACGTGACGTCGTCGTCGAGCGGAGACGCTAAATGATTGTTATTGTTGCACACGAGTGACGCGGTAGCGCAGTTAAACGAGTGTGCCAGCTGCCAGATGCAAACCATGAATAACGTGAACTAAAACGGTGAGGCAATAAGCTATCATTTGCTTCGCGTTACTACAGACAACGGCAGCATGCTGTGATGACGCATATCACAATATTTAGAAAACGATACGATGGATTTTTATAATATTTATACAACTTGGTCAACTGATGGATTGATTACAAACTACACAGGTCTTTGCATTGTACTGTTGAATTCAATTCCGTTGTTTCGGTCGGCGTGGTGAAGTAAAATCCATTTAACCTCTGCTAGTAATTGCCATCTGTGTTACTATGCGATTCACTTTCTGGCCTACATATTGTGGGGGCATTAATATATATATGAGATCACGCTACGATACGGGGTACCACGGAGAAACGTACCGCGACTATGGCCGTATCGACATGCGGCCACACATTAACAACCACTATACTACGCTGCAGACTCTTCAAACCTGAAGCAATGATGCGTATACCTGCATGCGTCGATGCCAGTTTTACAGTCGCTACGTACTTACACACGGCTCAACGCACGGATCAAATTCACTCACTCACCAAATCCAACCACAAGCATCGCGACACGAGAAAACAATACAAAGCATCGCACTGCGAAATTCGTGTCGATAAATCGCCGCGGTAACGAGCCAGCGGCTCTCGGCCACGCATATAAAAAACAACACAAAGCAATACAATACAATACAAACCACGGCGATTTCTCGTCGCCTAAATCTGGGTTTACACGGCCAACTTTGTGTTGGCGAATAGCCGAACTTGGACCAACTTCGCAATTTTGCAACTGACAATCGGCAGCAGGCCTCGAATTAAGCGACAAGAGGGGCAAGGCAATTTTTTGGGGGCATGTGAGAAATTGCCTTGAATTTTCTCTAAAATGGATGGGCATCAAGGCAACTCTCACAATTTGAGAAGGGCACCAAGGCACTTGTTTTTTACCGTGTATGTACAGACTGTCTCCCGCCCACATGTACATCGTCTTCCGCCCCCATGTAAGCTTACACCGTAACACCGACCCCTGTACCCCCCTCTGCTAATGGAAGTACAGTAACAGGGTTCAACATTAACTTTTTATTTCACTAGACCATCGGGCTAGTAACTGAGGAAAACCACTAGCCCTGACCTAACTTTCACTAGCCCAGACCCAGACCATTGTTATGAAAAACTTTCTGTCATCGTATGAATTCTACACAAGCTACACACCGTACAGATCACAGCTGGCCATTCTTGCGCGAGCGTTGTTTCCCGCGCTTTAAATCGCACGCGGGCCGAGTCTACGTGCAGCATTTAAATATTTGTGTTTTACCACGGGCATACACAGGCGCACGATTTATCGATCGTCTACTGGCAGCGGTTGGCACCAAGCCACGTTATATATTATTGTTTTTGCCGAAAGGTAGACTGGTATCCGGCCTCACGCTCTGCTAGACAATGTACACGCTCTGCGACAAACAGTGCGGCCGCGAACCAGTCTAGCCAGAGGCACCGACGGCAATTACAGAAAAGGGCAAGGCAGGTCACTGCCGTCGGTCGGGTTGGATTTTTAGGGGCAGTACGGCGATTGATAGGGGCACCGACGGCAATTGCCGTCGGTGCCGTCGGTTAATTCGAGCCCTGATCGGCAGTGTAAACGCAAAAGTTGCACGTCCAACCAATCGATAGCAACTAGTTGGGAGATTAGAACATGTTCTAATTCGGCAATTCGCCAACTCAAAGTTGGCAGTGTAAACCCAGCTTTAACGAGCTCGCGCGCGTTCGACGGGGAAGCGAGAAGGACGCGCTCACCAGACTGCGCTGCGACGCTGACGACCGCTCGCCCTCCTTCGTCGACAAATCGCCGCTCGTCGCGTCGACGTTCAGCGAGCACGAGCCGATCGTGATGATCGACGTGTCCATGAACGCGCGCCGCGGCCCCGCCTGCGACGAATTCAGCGATTCGCTGCTCGTCGCGCCGCCCACGTTCAGCGAACATGCGCCGATCGAGTCGTCCGTCGGCTGCCGCGTCAACCGCGTTAGGTTCGTGCGCAGGCTGAGGCTCGCCGGCGGCTTGAGGTCGGCCGAGCGGCGGTTCGACCCGGGGCTCTGCGCGGCAGGCCGGCGCGGCGTCTCTGACGACGGCCGCTCGAACGAGCCGCTGCCGCGCGGCGGTCCGCTCTCGGGCGACGACAGCGTCAGCTGTGGTGACGGCGTCTCGCGCGAGACGGCAGCGGCCGGGCGTGCGGGCACAAAAGTCTGCTTGCTGCTCGCCGCCGCTGTCTGTTTGTGCGATTTCTCGAGGGCGCTGTCGCTCTCGTATCCCTCGAAGCTGCTGTTCGACTGGCGGCGCGTGTCGTCGTAGATCGACACGATCTTGTCGCCCTTCTTCGTGCGCCGAAACTTCGGCGACAGCTTCTTGAAGATGTTGGATAGCGACGACGAGTTCGACGACTTGTGGATGACGTAGCCGTCGGCGGCGGCGACGCCGCGCGGCAGCGAGCTCGCGTTCGCTTGTTTCTCGCCGCCCCGCGACTGCGAGGACTCGGACGCGCTGCTCTCGGGCGTCTGGCTTCCGCTGGCGTGGCGCGGTTTCTCACGCGACGGATGGTGCTTTGGCGTCACAGTGTTTTTGATTGCTTGCATGTAGCGCTGCGTCCGCGCGTACACGAAACCGCCGCGCTTCGGCGACAGAGGAGACTTTGATGGCGAATCCTCCATGCCACGACTCATGACATGACCGCGCGGCCGGTGTCCGGCAGACGTGGGGCTTCACGACCCAGCTGTGCTGCCATCTGTGGACAGATCAAACGTTTTTCATTTTAAATATATTTTTTTTATTAGTACTTTTAAGTTCAAGGGTTTTATGGGTTCAACAAAGCCATATAAGCAGGTTCATCTTGCAGGTTCAGAATTGTTTAACTTTAAATTTTGTAGGTTGGCAACTCTAGGTATACCTAGGAATACACAACAGGCATCTAGAAATGCATGTATTCGAGCGTTATTCACCTGCGTTGCTCAGTTAAATAGCATTATAGAGTCAAGTTTAAAAGATCACTCTACCCACTGTGTTTCAAAGAAAAAAATTTGCATACTAGCCGCAGTCTCATAACAGCTGGTGACAGCTGTTTGTCAGCCATAAGCTGCTACCAACAAGAAAAATTATATAGCCACGAGCTAGAGAGAATAAAAGCACGCGAGTGATTCATCTCGCACGTTGCTGTGCTCCCTCAAAAAATAACAATGTTTGCTCTGTGCTACTGCTGATATGTATATATTGCCAAGTACTCCATACATGATACAGGCCATATTTGAAGATTGTTTGTTGAGTGGCAGTGAGAGTAAAGTGCACGATCGTGACAGAAGATATCGCTGGTGTACTTCAACCCCACTAAGGCACTTACTATGTGCAACTGCCAACAAGGTAGAAAACTACACACATGTAGAGCAAAGATAGGAGGGGCTCACATAGAGAGTTTGGGGGTCAATGCCGCCTGTAGGGGTGTACATACTGAAATAAAACCGTGCCGAAATTGCACGTAATTACGGTTACAATGATGGGTTTTGCCAACGCTCAGAGCTGTCACATCGTAGGAACGAGAAAGTTTGCACTAACATGTTATTTCATAACTTGATAAGGCAGCGACAATGAGTTCCGCGACGTTAAATCAATATTCCACAGATTACAGTAAGGTGGCTGAAATACAAAATGCAATAGTTTAGAATGCAGAAATCAGTCTTCAAAACTATGCATTCATTCATATATATGAGAAAAAACCTAGATAATATACTTGCAAAAAAACCTAGAATTTTTTCATGTTATAACTGGTTCATAGTCCTACGGTAGCATAGTTATATCCTGTTCCAGTATATTACAGCTAGGTCACTTATATCTACAATGATACTGTACTAATAACTGATAAAAAATGGCGTGTTCACCTTTAGTAGGTATATAAAGGTAGTATTATAAAATCCACTGGCATTTGATATGGTACTATACATGATTTTAATGCTGCAATTTATAATGCACTTAATAAAACTAAAAATTGATAAAGGAATGAATTGACATTTCCGTCTCGTTTTAAAATCATTCAGCATCATGATTCATGATCATAAAAATATTTAAATGTAATGCCCCTCAATTAAGTATGTAGTTTCTGGGAACTCACTTCACTCACATTCACATTCTTATTCTAAATTTCTTTTACTTGTGATGCACCAATGATCGATGATCGAAGTTAGCTATTGATAATTTAACAGCATTGAATAAAAACAAGTTTTTCAATTCCTGATAATAAGAACAATGCGGCAAACTTCCATTTCAAAATTTGGTAATGAAGCTGTTTTGAAACAAAATGATTGTAGCAAAATTCCATTTATTTAATTTTAAAAAATTAATAAAATCTAATTAATATCATTGATAACATATTCTGGGCTGGAACATGGTTGGAAAACCAACCAAGGTTCAGACGCTTCTCGACTCTGACTAATGGCACTGGTATCGCGTATTAAAAACATACTATTACTAGCAATCCTCTCTCACTTAAAGCCGCACAATGCGCCTCCAAACGCTAATTTCTCCAGTACTAGACTATAGCAAATACTTCGTGTCATGCATAATCACACTACCTTATGACAAAATAAACTCTAGTTACTCCCATTTCACTGCGCGTTTGCTTAAAACCCACAAGAAAAAGGTGAGAAAACTGGCATTCTGGTGCAAACGCCGACTGTTTGCCAAACAATTTAGCCTCGAAGTGGTGAGGTGACGTCACATGTTTTTATCTTTGCTACACCCGTACCGCTGTACCGCAGCACCGCTGCACGGTTGCTTGGGGAAACTGTCAACAACATCGGAGAATTTTAAGAACATTAGAGGTATTTTCAAATACCTTTTATAAGACAACGCGCAGTGAAATAGGAAGAACTAGAGTTTATTTTGTTATAAGGTAGTGTGATTATGCATGACACGAAGTATTTACTAGTCTAGTACTGGAAAAATTAGCGTTTGGATGCGCATTGTGCGGCTTTAAAGCACTTCTTAGGTGCTTTAATAAGACGTGCTGACAATATTGAATTAAATACCTATCGATGACTTAGCACTGTTTCACCTTGCAGCAATTTCTTATTCTATTAGTATTAGCAAGAGAATCCATGCGACTTACACGAACACATTTACCCACCTCACATCCAATTAAGGATTAGGCCTACAGTCATTAATAGATTTGTTCTTGTCTGCTCCTTACTGAGCATCACCTTTAGTATTCTTAATAAAACTCATACGTGTGTCCAACAGGCAAACTTCCACAAACTGTGTTCTTGGTTCACCATGCTAGGCATCGATTGAATGAGGAAGCATATAATCATTATCATACATATACACACACACATGTAGCGCCACAGGCACTTGAAGCGTTTCAATAAAATATAATGCTAACTAAATACGAAATCTATTTACTACCAAATTCTTAATGTTTCTATACTCTCTTTCACCTATTATTGCTGACAGTTTCCTGTCAAATCCTACGTGCAACAATATACGCTGCCGGCGCCATTGCTCTCGCGGCTCCACTGTTGCACGCTTACACTAATATATATATAGCAGGTAGGAAAGCGGGATCGCAAAATTCGCTCGACGCTCGCTGGATTTCACACTTTCACAGCACGAATACACATCCAACAGCTGCCATCTTTGTTTCTATGTCAAGAACAGTGTTCACTTGTTATAAAAACACACTGTCTTTGTTCGTAACCGAGCTGTGTCACGCGAAATCACACAAAGACTGACGAAATTCTCGCGTTCACAAACCTTGCCCCATAATGTAAATGGCTGTCAGAATCAGTGCTATATAGACTGGGACTCGCTCCCACCTCGATTACCCATTGAGTGACTAAGCTAAGCCGAGAGGTGAGAGCGAGTGCCAGTCTATAGACTATAGGCGGCGCGCAGGCGGCGCACTGCTTTCCAACTCCCGTACGAGCCTCGCCATTGGAACGTTGCAGCGTTGCGGCGCAAGAATGAGGTCACGAAGAGCGCCGGTAGGCGTTTCCTGATTCTGACAGCCATTTACATTACGGGGCAAGGTTCGCGAATGCGAGAATTTCGTCAGTCTTTGTGTGATTTCGCGTGACACAGCTCGGTTACGAACAAAGACAGTATGTTTTTATAACAAGTGAACACTGTTCTTGACATAGAAATAAAGATGGCAGCTGTTGGATGTGTATTCGTGCTGTGAAAGTGTGAAATCCAGCGAGCGTCGAGCAAACCTGCTATGTATATTAGTGTAAGCGTGCAACAGTGGAGCCGCGAGAGCAATGTCGCCGGCAGCGTATATGGTTGCACATAGGATTTGGACGGAATTGACAGGAAACTGTTGGCAATAATAGGTGAAAGAGAGTATAGAAACATTAAGAATTTGGTAGTAAATAGATTTCGTATTTAGTTAGCATTGTTACCTCCGCCCACGTAGTAACGGAGTGGAGGGGAGGTAATGTAATCCGTCTCGTGTGTGTGTTCGTGTGTGTGTGTGTTCAGTCCGCGCGGCGCGATTGATAGCACGTCGAGTCAGCGAGCGGTGAGTCAGCAG